TAAGTCACTAAAGCTTTACAGTCAAATAAGACACACACAACGAAATACGTTTCATCTCTCGTCTTAGTCGGACAGTCGAGTACTCTATAAGACACAGCGCCCTGGGGAAAAGTCCCCAAGACCATCGCAAGGCTTACTCAAGACTAGCCCAAGACTGGACTGCGTCTATCGTGCTGTACTCGCCAAGACCAACTAAACCAACTTTATTCATTTTCAAAACTCTAACCAATTTCAATGCAGTAAAAAGACTCTAGGGCGTAACCTTCAATCATAAAGCCAATCACACTAAGTACTGAATACGTCATATATTTTGATTAATCGTTCACTACATTAATAACTACGAATACCAACTGTCAGAATTAATAGTCCGAATAGCTACGGTTATCTCGTAATTAGTTCCAAATCACTGAGCCAAGTTCCGTTCAGAACCTCGCATGGCCTAAACGATGCCAGACATAACACAGCCATTCGCTAGTAATCAGCTAATTAAGTCGATTAACAGATACGCGTAAACTAATTCATGACACATCCCTTCACCCAAACTGAGAAATGCCTCCCGGCATAACACGTTCATAAATCAAAGATACCGTCGTCTACTCATCACTCGTCATATGGGTTAAATACAATACTGATAAAAGGAATAAATCAAAAGAGTAAAACACACTGATTAATAAACTGATTATAAGTCTAAATGCAATTGATTATAAAGTCACAAAAACAAGGGAAAGGCTACCAATAGACCCGCTTTTCTCAAAACGGTCGGCTGAGGGTAACCCTTTGCTGCACTGTCTCTCGTTACTAAGGTTACAAACTCTATATCAAAAGGTCAAAAAACTAAGGCGTGGCGGTGTAACCAAGCGATCAGCCAATCGCTGCAGTCGACAGCGTGATCACGTGATTACCAGGGATGCGTCTCTCGGTTAAACCATTGTAAAGCGGTAACTAATAAATAATGAATAAACAAGCTATTAATCAAACTCCTGTCATATACGCTTATAAACTTTAACTGAACTCAAAAGTCGTTAATCTAAACAAAAGTCATATGGCGTGGAAACGGAATGCAAAGACAAAGCTATCATAACACATTACTCCTCTGGCAAAAAGACAGGGAAGGCTAAAACGATAGACACCACTAAGTTACATATAATCCTGTCAATCATGAACAAAAGCTTGCGTTATCAAACAATACGTATATAGGCGCACCAAACTCATTCCAAAAAGACATTAAAAAACGTTACAAAGGTGCTATCAACTCAAAAAGCGCCAGAAGTATTCCGGAAACAACACGTAAACAAAAACAACTCTTAAAACGTCGATATCTCTGTACATCGACAAATTTCAAAACTCTGAAAAACTCTTTGGGGCATTACTTTCTCCATCATATTCCGTACTCATACACTTATTAAAACACCATAAAACTTCACAAAACTCAAAACACTGTGTTGCAAATACTTGTCCACTGAGGCGCGCTTAAATCGTTATAAAGGACCTCGCACGTCACTAAATATCATTTCAAAACTAAGATCTGGGCGCTTACATAACATACAATTCGATATCACAAAAAAAGGTAAATCTCCATGGTTGTTGGTAATCCATGCAGTAACGCGGTGCAGTTATTGACGAAATTATCTATTAGCATTGCTTATATGTCCACTGACACACCCCAACCACAAAGTTAAAAATCCCCGTCCTCAAATAAACAGACCGAGGTAACACCACCGGCTCATCATTTTTATGTTGACACAAACCAACCACAAATTTAAAAATCCCCGTCCTCAAATAAACAGACCGAGGTAACACCACCGGCTCATCATTTTTATGTTGACACAAACCAACCACAAATTTAAAAATCCCCGTCCTCAAATGAACAGACCGAGGTAACACCACCGGCTCATCATTTTTATGTTGACACAAACCAACCACAAATTTAAAAATCCCCGTCCTCAAATAAACAGACCAAGATAACACCACCGGCTCATCATTTTTATGTTGACACAAACCAACCACAAATTTAAAAATCCCCGTCCTCAAATAAACAGACCAAGATAACACCACCGGCTAATCATTTTTATGTTGACACAAACCAACCACAAATTTAAAAATCCCCGTCCTCAAATAAACAGACCAAGATAACACCACCGGCTCATCATTTTTATGTTGACACAAACCAACCACAAATTTAAAAATCCCCGTCCTCAAATAAACAGACCGAGATAACACCACCGGCTAATCATTGTTATTATGAATACATTAACCTCATCGTATAATGTGGTAATTTAATAGGAATTGCGTAAAAAGTTAATCAAATTTGAATATTATTACACAATAGTCATACAATATGCACGTAAATCGGCGAATTAAACAATTGCGACATGTGAATAAAAAACGAGTATTTTGTAATAACATTTTTCTGAGCTTCTTCAACGATTGTGTGATTGGATACATAAATAAAGGCATCTTTCGTTGTATACCGAACCTGCCAGTTCATAAAAGTCAGAAATCGGTGTTTACATCTACTAAAAAACTCACTCAGGTATTTAATACTACTCAGAAAG